AACAGTCTCAATTCACATGAATGAAGTTCCAGGTAACAAGACTGCATCCAAATATTAGCATTGGCAGCATCACAAGAAAAGAGTCTCCATCAAATATTATAAGTTGCACATCCGATAACATTTATCACCCACAATTTAATATCTAATAAAATCATAGAAAGAGGCGAGACGAGAATTGATGAAATAAAAACCACTTGAATAGTTTCAAACATCATGAGGAAATTAAACATCACATTCTGTTCTGTTATCATATCACAACAATTCCTTGTATGCCTTTTTTTTCATCGTATTATGTATGAGAAATTTCATTCTTATGCACACTAGAGCTTACGGCAATAAGATAGAGGAGGAAAAAAAAGAAAGTTTTTCAATAAAATAAGCTTGAGAGCATTCCTTTACCAGTGCCAAATTGCTTTTTGAAATGTGAATCTCAACTCAATTCAAAAGGAAAAAAAAATAGAATTGAAAGGAGAGATGAGATATGTGAAAAAAGATGAGAGATATGAGGAAGTTTGAAGGAGGAATGGAAACAAAAAAATAAAATGTAATTCAAGACACACACATATCATATAATGAAGAAGGAGGAATGAGAATTGAGCATGATAGTGAGAAGATAGAAAGGGATTCAGTAACATGCAGTTGATATGTGCGCACTTATCATCAGATATTCAAAAATTTAAAATTAACGATTAAAAAATATTTGAAAAATAACGATCGAAAAATATTTGAAAATGTGGATTAGATTTTTTTTTAAAAATGAGGGTCAAAAAATATTTTAAAAATAACGATCAAAAATATTTTTTAAATAACGATCAAAAATTATTTAAAAAATAACGATCGAAAAATATTTGAAAAATTAAAGGCTATTTTTCTGACAGACAGTCGAAACTAATCACATACCATCCATTTATCTTAAAACTTGCAACCCCAAAAAAACTTTATCTTCATTCTCAAACTCTTCTTAACCAAACTAAAAGTGCCACCTCAAAAGTACTTTTACCACCATCTAATGTTTATTTGCTCAGTTTTATCATGACTACTTATGGCTGTACTTTCATCATCATCTATCTACCACGATAAGACTTTGTTTTGTACTCATTAGATACTTTTCATGAGAACTTTTTGAGTTTGATAAGGAAAAATGAATCATAGAAATGCATTTTTAAGTTGTGTCCTCATGACTCGATTGTGTTGGATATTAAGAAATTTGAGAAATATTATTTTTGAATTGGACGTTGAAGTGTCAACTCTTAAAATGTCTAAAGTGAAAAACAAAGAAGCAATCGATGGGAATGGAAGGTCTTATGAGCGCTTTTGATCCTCAAAATTAAATACTTTTCATCACTAACTTCTTTCAATAAGAAACTTTTCATCTTGACCTTTACAAAAGTTCCCTGAAAAATTTAATTTAATTTTCTATGTCCAAAAACTTTCTGCTGCTAGCTAAAAGGACAATAATTCCTTCCATGAAGGACTCAAATTTCTTAATATTAAAAGAAACTTTAAAAAAATAATTTCCCAATTTTTTAAATTTGATTGCTGTCCTTTAAAAACTGTTTGCGGACCGAATAAATATTTGATGAAATTTACTTAAAAAAGTTTTACTTTTCATTAGGTCTGACTGCCATTTTGGCTATTTGTGAATGATTAATTAGGTTAGAAAGATTCAACAAGCTCAATTTCTCATTATCCATCACTTATGAATGCCCTTCAATCAATTTTCCATAAAAAAGATTTTCCATTTTAATCAAAAAATTCTGAATTCCTTTTTTTTTTGTTTAATAAACATCACAGCCATAACCTTAACATACTTAAATCCAATTTTATTTACACTACAAAAAAAAACTTTCTTGAACTTTGTGTCCTTGCATGCTTTAGCATGTGCTTTAATAACAATTTTTATTAAAATATAAAAAAGAAAACTTTTTGTTCAGCTGAAATTCCTGAAGTAATTTTCTCACATGACAATTTTTACTTTTGCGATTGTCTACGGAGCACTTTTTGAAAATTATGATCCATTTTTATACCGCTTAACAAAAGTGCCATTGAGGAATTACTTCTACGACTCTATGTGCACGTGTAAAAGTATTATAGGAGCATAAATATATGCTGTAATCTGCAACAATATCGTAATAGCCAAAAAATTCGACTTTTAGTCTGTTGCTCTAGCAGTTGAAGGGATAATAAACATGTTTTTCTGTGTGTGTGCCTTCTCACTCCAAGTGACTGTCTCTTGTTGCAAACGACAAAGTTTCATCCCTAAGGGAATGCTTCCGTTCGAACTAAGGCGTTATGTTGTATGTGTTTTATAATATTTGCAGAGGAGATAGTGGGGAAAAAAATGAAGCAAATGAAAAAGTTTTTTTTTCTCGTGTACAATTTTTTTGTGCTGTGTTTTTATATGTTCCGAATGAACATACGTCCTTACACACATCCTTTCCATGGTTCATTGTTTCTAACACTAACTTTTGTCAGTTGAATATGGAATATGGGGAAAGTATGGGTGTCTTGGCACTGGATTGTGGGCTAAGAAGCATTTTTGGTTTGACTAAGAAGCTATTGACTAGTTCAGAGCTGATTTTTGTGGGTTTTTTTGAGTTTTTCCAAGGACACTTAACTTATCTTTTAAGGTTAAACAGAGTTTAGCCTACCTTTAGACTTTATTTTGGTATTCTAGGGGTGTGGTACGGAGTGTGGGAGAGAGCGGATAGCTAACGCTCTTCTCTCATTCTCTCAACGGTATTATGCATGCATGCATAATGCCGTTCAGTAATTAGTCTTATAGATACTGTAGAAGAATAAAGATATTTCAATAAGTAAAGACCTGTGATTATTCATTTATCAGCTATTTATATATAGTCATATTACAGAGTTATTAAGTATCTAGGCTCCAGCTAGGACAATAGTCTATACAGGGAATAGGACAGGAGTCTTATTCCCACACGGAGGACGATAGCTCAAAGCTGATTTGAGTCACTATGCTTAGCTAAGGAGTTGGCTAAGAGTAGCTGTCGTAGCTATGATTTGATTAGGGTAAGCTACTTAGCTTATGAGCTGGTTAAGAGTAGGTATGACAGCTTAGGTTATATAAGGATCAGAGTTATCAAAAAGGTACCTTCGGAAAGGTGCCTCACCAGAGCATGGTAGCTATTGACTTTGTCCAGGCAACACCTATGCATATGCTTGCTTTGACAAAGGTAAATTTCGACTTCTTTTTAAAGGCAATGCCTGGGATAGATTTTTGCTTTTGATAGGAAATCGATAGGTTTCAACTCTTATTAAGAATACAGGAGAGCCTTATTAATCATTCACTGGTACTACAATATTGCTTCTTACTATACCAGGACTCTAGGTTCTATAGCAACAACTTCGAGGATGTCTTTCCTTCCCAGCATGATCACTGGTTATGTATTCTACACTTACTTACTTACTTCGCTGGCCGTACAGATCAATTGTAATCCATGGCCTTCCTCAGATGGATGATTCAATCTTAGTTTTCTATTTAAAATCCAAAAACTCCCACCAAAATGATTCCACAGCACCCCCAAAAATCATGCTAAAAATATATGATAATATTTTAATTCACACAAAAAAAACGAAAGCATTTGACACCAATGGATGGGATGGAAGACAGAACGAGATGGGAAAAAAATTGTTATTACGTTTATGTGGGTGGAGATATGGATATTTATGACGTGTGTAGGAGAGAAGAAAAAAAAATTGAATTTTCATGCAGTAATAATGAATGGAAATTGAAAAAGGAAGCAGAGCCATTGTGGTATTGAAAAATAGAATGGTGAGATTATTTTTTATTAGTTTGGATGAACTGCGTTGTCGAAAGCCGAGAGATTGTTAATTAAAAATATTAAATTTCAGGTATTGAATGGAGGTTTATTGATCTAGTCTGTGCGGCTTCATCATCAGTTTATTGAATGTGAGCTTAAATTTCAATTAAGGAAGATTTTTTTTCCATTGAATTAAAGCAGTTGATTGAAGCAGGTGTTGATAAATTGAAGGAGATCAATTTTTAACTGGTTCTTGTTTGGTTGATAGACGGGAATGAGGCTGGATTGTGCAAGATTATTATACGATCCTTAAGCTCAAGGCAGTTGAAAGGAAGCAGATTTAAAGTTTAACAGTCTCAAAGTTTAAGTACAGGAATCCAAATCAGAGCTGATTCTCAGAGTTAAATCACAATTCATAAATTAGAAAACATCAAATCATCAAAAAGTAGAACAACAACAACAGAAACGACAGCCACAAAACTCATATCCAACAATATTCATTCATTCCAAAAAAAAAAATCAAATCTCTCAAATGCCAAAGTTTTTTTTGTGATTCAAAAAAAAGTCCTGCAAGCAAGCTAGGCATGAGGAAAGAAGACTTAAAGCCTTTTCATTTTCATGATGATGAATGTGATCTAAATGAGACATTTCCTAATAACGTGATTCACAAAAGTCGTGTGAGATGAAATTCACATTCAATGCTCGGCATAATAAGCCCTTAATTAGCTGGGTGGGGAAGGCTGACGATAAAGGAATCTTTTTGTGTGTGACATAAAAAAACGGAATTCCACAAAAAAAAGGTGAATGAAGGAAGAAATATAATCTGGTAGGATTAAAGGTGCCTCGATTGTGCGTTTTTTAAAAAAAATCTGTTTCAAGGTTACAAAAAAATGAAATTTCCTAATCCGCATCGATTTTATTATTCAGAATTTTTTTCTTTTATCTTATTTTGCCGATATTTTTTGTGTGCTGTGTGCTGTATAAACATATTCAATTTTTCAATACAAAAAAATAATATTAAAGTCGTTGTTGATTGAAAGGCAAAAATGAAAAAAAAAAAGAAAAAAAAAAATTTGAGAGCAAATCTGGAAGTGACATGCGCCATGGATGCTGGAATCTTGGAATTAAAAATTATTCTCTCCGCTCAATACTCAGTCATGCAACTGATATGAAGATCTAGATAAAAAAAAATATGAAACGTCTTTAGTCGATGTCTGAACATTGTAAAAAGTAGAAGAACTTTGCGGAACTGAAAAAGAAATAAATTTAAAAATAAACAAAAGTGTGAAAAATTAAGGAATTATGTCTTGTGTGAGCTACAAAACATGAAAATTCAATCAATTGCCACACCCGGCGTGAATATGTAAACTGTGAATGTGGTATAAGCCTCATCCTTACGGCAAACAATTCTTGTAACCCGCATAAATTAAACAAAATAATAAAAAAAGTTCTCAATCCATCCTGATGTATACACATCTTTGTGTATTTTGGTGCTGTTCACATTAATTAAGAGAAAAGAAAGAGAACAAAAAAAAAATCATGAATTTGTGATGATGTAAATTAATTAAAATCGCTGTTATTTCGTTAATGATAAATGACGTTGAAATGAAAATTATGTGGCATGTGTAGATATTAAACATCTAACACCAGCATAATCATCATCATTATCTGTCTAAGCAGAACAAGGATATTGACAGACGTTTATAGCTCATGTAGATTGCCAAATATGATTGCAGATTGTTTTAATATCAAAGGATTTTTATCATTGAAATCATGCTGTGTTTTATACATACTCTTTGGTTTATGTAAGTTCTTATAGTGTTATTGGGGATTGATTTTGAATTTTGGTGTTTATTAAGGTTAAGTGATGAAGCTTGTGTCTGAAACTATGTGAAAAAGACTAAGCACATGCGATAGGATAGAGTCAAAAGCTAAGAGACGCATGAAGTCTAAAGCAATTAACAGTCTTGAATTTGACAACATAGTAGCTATGTTGATGGTAGGTCATTAAAAATACCTAGGAGTGCTCTGTCGGTGCCATAATATTAATAATAATGTGAGAAGGTTCCAGCTAGGCGGTGTGTTACTATACTTTGTGACGAGCTGAAGGCACTGAAATCCTGATCGATGATAGAATCTATTTTACCGTTCCCTGTTAATGAACTTAGATAGTATTAAGATAGTCAGTGCCATAGTTGCTGATTGTTTTTAAAAATTGAGTGTGTCCATCGGAAGATAATCTTCTTCTGATATTTGTGACAAGATAAGTTGAGAGGAAGTTGGAGTACACTAAGTACAGGTTTAAGGCAATCACCATAGATTCTACAGATCTTAAATCAGATTAAATGAAAGTTAAGGACATGAATGCTTAAAAATACAAAAAAAAAACTGATATGTGAAACTTCCTGAAGACTCATATTAAGCTTGATGCCTTTGATTAATGCTTCAGAATCACAAGTAGCTCATTAACAGTTCACTTACTTATTTACTTAGCTAGCTAGGCACATAACTCACTTTCATAATGTCTAAAACTAGCTCCATCCTTGAAATATGAATTCTTCAAACCAAAGCTTGAAGTCGATTCGAGATTTTCATCGATATTGTATGGCAGAGTCGACTCAGGGAGGTAATGGATCACAATTAATCTGTACGACCAGCGAAGTAAGTAAGTAAGTAAGAGTTGACTCCGAATCGACTCAACACGTTACAAAATTCATGGAATTCTAGCTCTGCTTCAAACCAGTATTCCCTAAGCATTGACCTTGAACATTCTCAAAAAAGTCAATAAACTACACCCCCAAAAAAATTCAATCAACATCCCACACCCCATCACAGGTGTCCTTGAACAGTTTTCAAGTACTGACGCATTCGAAAATTTCATTTAAAAAGGGTTTGTAATATGATCATTTGATTGGCACCAAATGCTCCAATTCAATTTTATTAATAAAAGCCTTCAATAAAGGACCGTAAAGTGTTTGGTATGTCCCAAGAACACATGATGTAATAACAAGCCATTGAATGAGTTTCTAGTTGAGTAAGCTTATGACTTTTTACATGGAATTATGAGTTATGTAAAGGATTATGTGAACTGTATTAAGGCAGAGGGTAGAAAAAAGTTAATAAGTTTCATAATCATCTTTAATAGAGTCAGAATGGGATGAGCTGCATGGTTATTTTGGCAAATAGCATGTGTTAAATGAATTTTGATATGAAGAACTTTTGTGATGGAATTTTAAGGATGAGGAATGTTAATGTCGGATTAAAGAGAGTTAGTAATTAAATTTTGAACTTATCAGATCTGTTTATGTCCTACAAAAGGTATTTTTAAAGTCAATCTGAGTCTGTAATATTTTTAGAAACTTCCATCTCAAGATGTCTGCTCTTGTAATAAGAGATTACCCAGAAATTAATGTTTACACAAGCATCGTAGATTAAAAGCTAATTATCGTTGTAATCTGACCGTGACTAAGATTTAGAGCACTGATTGTTTGTTGGTTAAACAACGTTTTGAATCATAAACAGCGCTCATCCTCACCTCAGGCTTCAATCCCAAGAAAACAATGTCGTTGAACTTAATATTGTTTTGAAAATTGGAATTGATGACAACGAGAATGCTATGGGTTTAAAAGTACATCAAGGATCAAAATTGATCAGTACGACTAGTGAATGAAATTAGCAAGTACAGATACAACTTAGTCAACGAAATTGATAGGTTGTCTTCATTAGGGGCAGGGGGGCACTTAGCGCAGAACAGTGATGAAAGAATGTCAGCTTAATGTGCGGACAGAGTTCTGTTTGTACAAACCAGGCGAGAAGGCCAGCAACAGAGTCAAATGAAAAGCCTTTTGTTGTAACTTAAGCTTCACATAGGAACATGGTTACAGTAAGAAAGTAAAGGAGGGGGGAGATAGGTGGCTTAAATACATGGTTGGCATGGTAAGTCTACAATCCTAAATTCTAATTACGTTAATAAAGTTGCATTGAGCCCACTTGGTGCTTGAATAACTTCAACTACAAAATTATCCTAAAACGTCGCTATGACAATCTTATGCTGCTATTGTTCGCTTCTGTTTCATTCATATCACTCCATAGGACATCAATTGGGGACACACACTACTTTCAGTTCATGCTACATCCAGTAAGCATCACAACCTTCCCAAAAAGTTCAAAAATTTGCTCCCATTTGATTTCCATCTTCCTGATGCGCTCATGTGTAGCCAAAAAATTAAAATTTCAAAAAAATTTTAACATAATTTTCCCATCACACTTGCAGATAATCCAAATTTTATCCCAGAATAACCAACAATAGAAGTTTATTCAGCTTTCAAAAATTAATTTGATGTTACACAGTAGATAATGATAATTTTATGCATGATGTGTGTATCCATTCTTCAGGCTCCTTCATTTGTAAAATTGTATGGACTCTGCAATTCTTTAACATCTTTCCACCTCTATTTTCTCCTCTATTTACATTTTTATGTCTCATTCTCCTTTATCTTGAGCTGTCTTGTGCGAGATTATTTTCAATTTATGCTAAATGTATAATGAAGATGTTTCTAGAAGCAACTTTGGAAGCTTTAGCTATTTTTTGTGGGGGTTCATTTATTTATTACGTTTTTCTAGAGGAATTGGGTGTTGGAAATTTTAAGAATGATTTTATGGAAGCTTCATAGATGCTTTGTGGGTTTTTGCGATGCTGCATTGAAATTCGGCTTTGAATATGGAATTTGGGTTTGAATGGACTTAGTTGTTGCACTGTGGGGAGAGTTCAGGCACTTAGGAATTTCTTATTATGTCCAGATCACATCTGAACAAAGTTGTAGCCTTTGAAGCTGAATTCTAACGCATGCCATAAGAGTTATACATTTTAAACAGGAATTGAGCACCTGAATCATGATTTAAGTACCTTTAGCATAAGTTTATGATTCATGAGTAGGGCTACATTCTAAAATACGAATTTTTGGCAAAAGCTTAAGGTTCCGGTATGCATATTAAGTTTTTTGGTGCATCAGATTCCCCAAAGGCATCAAGGGCGCTGAATTTGGTGAAATCAGTCCTGGACAACAGATTACGACATGTGCCTTTCGGGATTAGTATCTAAACTACTGCCCTAGCATCTTTAACTCAACAAAAACTCAAAACCTCAATTTTTAAAGACAGACATCATTCATAAAAGACCCCCACCCCCTCTCAAAATTAAAGTGAAAAAGTCATGAAAGGAAAAAATTCATTATTTGCCTTAGAAATTTCCTCTCCTTCATTCTTTACATAATATTTACATGAAATTTTCTTATTATTAAGACTCATTAAGAAAATTCAAACACGAAAAATTGTCGAGAACTTTTTGAATTCTTACAAAAAGAATTAAGCATTGAATGGTAGATTGTGTCTGTCGAACGACTTAAGAATTTATTCTTGTAAAATTTGTAAATGATGATTGAAGCGTGAATAATGAAACTTTATAAAAGTTATGTCTGAAGATGTTTTCTGCTTGGATTGAGATGATTTTTAAGACAATGATGATTGTGAAGTTGCACTGAAATTATGAGTTCGAAAGTTACGTTCTGTTAAATTTTTGTGATTGTTCTTTATTTGAACATGCTTGAATGGAAAGTTGTGGAACTTCTAGTGTTCAAGGAAAGTGTGTTTTATGTAAAATGGATTGAGTGGTTTAAGTTCTTGAGTTCGATTCTTGGTGAGATTCAGTCGTGAAACTAATTTAATATATTAGCAATCAAGTTGCCTAGCTTTGTCACTTTAAAGCTCTTTAATGCTGATTTTCTGTTCTGACTTCACTATCCAAACTTTGTTATTAGCCACAAAGCTCAAAAAGATAAGCTTCAGTCTAGAATCAAACATTTCGACTAAAAAGCAACTCCAGAAACACAAATGTATTAAGAAAAGTTACAAGCAGTTCCAGGAATACAACCGAATCCTTCTTGAGCACTTCCTACAATATCAGCATCTTAAAAAGCATCACCTTATCTTCCCTTCCGAGAAAAATATCTCCTCAGAAATAAAACTTCCTAATAAGCCTTAAACCTCTTATTAAAAAGAATTATTTAGACACTTGTCACACCAAAAAAAGCAAGTGGACAACAAAGGTGAAAATGAGATGCCGCACGAGAAAGAAAAACTTTTTTATTTTTTCTGTGTACAAAATGTGGGAACCGAGACAAGTATCAAACAATGAAGGAAGACGACGAGGAATAAAAAAAAAACAAAAAAGTTTTTTAAAACCATAATAAGTTTAATTTGGATCATGATTATAATGAAAACATTTATTGTGAACGAGGTGCTTTCCATCGCATAGATGTATAAAGAGCAGGTGCAAGTGATTTTCATTCATTTTTGTGTGTATTATTGTATTTTGCGGGTTTATAAGGAAGATTGGAATTTTTTGAGATTTTTTTGAGGTGGTTGGAGCGCATTTGAGTAGGTTTGAGGTAGGGATGCAACTTTATGAAGATTTCAGGCATTAACAAACGAAGTTTTTAACTGCCACACTACTAGCTGTAGGTTTAAAGTAAAAATAGGTGTGGAATACGAATAGGAATCGAACATGATATTCGAATCTGAACTTAGTCAGTCAATTCTTAAGCGAACAATCAGTACAAACTGCATTCCACCCTATTCATCCAATCTAATCGTAGCAAAAACAACAAAACTGCCTGAAAAAGAACCGAGAGCATTATAAAAGTACACAAGAGTGGTTTTTGAGGAAAAGCGCTTAAGTTTATTATTTTTCCTCTTATTTCTCTCGATCTGTGCTTGTTGAGCTTCATTCTGTTGCCTGCATTTTTGAAGCGAAAATCTCTATTCATAGTGCGAGAGAATTATTAATTTATTAAAATTTATGCTGCTCCAGAGGAGAACAGAAAGAAAAATGAAAAACGGGGTACATAATTAGCATTTTATTAATTAAAATGAGCATAGGATTATGCTCAGAGATATGATTCAGTTTGGAAAGAGCTTTATGTTTAATACAACAATGACCCTTTTCTACTGTATATATTCGTCATTCTTCAGTCTGTGGACTTTAATAAAAAAATATATAAATTTAAAATCCGAATGGACAAGGATGAAAAATCCTTTCTTACTTAATACCAATTAATTTATTATTTGTTTCTCTATTCTCATTGCAGTGCCACCAAATACTAGAACCCTTCATATTACAAACATTGTTGTACCGCCCTTTGTTGATGTACGAGACGTTGTTATGCTGTCCTGTAGCTATAATCTTGGAACACAGAAATTAAACTCAGTAAAATGGTACAAAAATGATAAAGAGTTTTATAGGTGAGTTTGGGGGGAAGTGATAAATGATAAAGTTGTAATTGAACTTGGGATAATAAAGCTACTATCGAATTTCTAGCAAATGTAGAGTAGCTAGTAGCTTCCCCTAATAAATAATAGCTACCCTAGCTAGTAAAGAATAGCTAATAGCTAGTAGCTACTCCAATAAGTAGTAGCTAGTAGCTACCCTAGTAAAGAGTAGCTCCTCCAAAAATGAGCACCGATTAGCTAGTAGCAACTCCAGCTCAAGATACAATTTAAAAAAAAGCTTTATATCTAAACGACATTATTTCTTAATACATCCTTTTCACCACAGGTACTCTCCACTGATGCCAGCCCAGCAACAGTACATGCTATTTTCAGTAGATGGTATCCATGTGGCATCCGATCACATGTGCAATGAGAAGTTCTGTACGATACATTTAGACAATTTAAGTGGTGACACATCGGGTGCCTATCGTTGTGAAGTAAGTGGAGATGCTCCAGAGTTCAAATTGACACACGAGACGAGTAACATGACGGTTGTTGGTAAGATATTTAGGATTAAATTCCATAAAATAAATTTTAATTAAATCTTTTTCCTTTTGATCTAGTTCTGCCGCAAAGTGATCCAAAAATTGAAGGAATCGAGCGAAATTATTACGAAGGTGACTTCCTATTTGGCAATTGTACATCAGACTTTTCATTTCCACCGCCAATAATGAGTTGGTATATCAATGAACAAAAGGCTGATCCGAGTCTACTGCAACCCTCTCAAGAGACCATTTTTGATGCTTACGGTTTCAAATTGTATCAACGTAGTTTAGAAATTCGATTTAGAATCGACAAAAGAATCAATCCGTTCATAACAGATGGAAAAATTCACATGAAATGTGTTGCACAGATGCGACAAATGCCATCACAATTACGTGAATCTAATCATATACTGTATGTGTCGTCATGGGATGACTTACGCAATCAAAAGTTAATTAATTGGAGAAGCTCAGGTGAGTTGTGGGTTTGTGTGGCGATTGATTTTTGGGATTTTGTCTCATTTTGATTTTAATTGTGAATTTTGCAATGATTTAGACGTACTAGGAAAAGAGATGTTTCTATTTGACTTTTAAATTGCGATGTTGAATTGATATTCTTGATTTGAGTTTATTTTACATTAGAATTTCAGTGGTTCTCTTGGTTCTCAGTTTTTGGTTCTTGGTTCTTGGTTTTCGGTTCTTGATTTCTTGTTTTTGGGTTCTTAATTCTTGGTTTTCGGTTCTTGATTCTTGGTTTTTGTTTTTGGGTTCTTGATTCCTTGTTTTTGGGTTCTTGATTCTTGGTTTTTTATTCTTGATTCTTGGTTTTTGGTTCTTGATTCTTGGTTTTTGGGTTCTTGATTCTTGGTTTTTAGTTCTTGATTTTTGGTTTTTGGTTCTTGATTCTTGGTATTTGGTTCTTGATTCTTGGTTTTTGGTTCTTGATTTTTGGTTCTTGATTCTTGGTTTTTGGTTCTTGATTCTTGGTTTTCGGTTCTTGATTCTTGGTTTTCGGTTCTTGATTCTTGGTTTTTGGTTCTTGATTCTTGGTTTTTGGTTCTTGATTCTTGGTTTTCGGTTCTTGATTTCTTGTTTTTGGGTTCTTGATTCTTGGTTTTCTGTTCTTGATTCTTGGTTTTTGGTTCTTGATTTTTGGTTTTCGGTTCTTGATTCCTTGTTTTTGGGTTCTTGATTCTTGGTTTTTGGTTCTTGATTCTTGGTTTTTGGTTCTTGATTCTTGGTTTTTGGATTCTCGATTCTTGGTTTTTGGATCTTGATTCTTGGTTTTTGGTTTTTGGTTCTTGATTCTTGGTTTTTGGTTCTTGATTCTTGGTTTTCGGTTCTTGATTCTTGGTTTTCGGTTCTTGATTCTTGGTTTTCGGTTCTTGATTCTCGGTTTTCGGTTCTTGATTCCTTGTTTATGGGTTCTTGATTCTTGGTTTTTGGTTCTTGGTTCTTGGTTTTCGGTTCTTGATTTCTTGTTTTTGGGTTCTTGATTCTTGGTTTTTGGTTTTTGGTTTTTGGGTTCTTGATTCTTGGTTTTTGGTTCTTGATTCTGGGTTTTTGGTTCTTATTTACGATTCTCGATTCTTAAATCTTAGTTTTTGGTTCTCAGTTCTCAATTTATGGTTCTTGTCTCTCGTATTCAACTCATCTTAAATTTTCCAAATTCTTATAAGCTCACTCAAGACTTATGCTTACAAAAAAGAGCATCCACTAACTTATCCAAAATACAATCCTTATTCATCACTAATAAACTTTTCAATAATTCATCGAGAGTGCTTCCAAACTTTTTCTTGCATAAAAAGAATCAAGTAATCAATAGATCTCCCAAGAAATTCAACATGAAGTACATTAAGATAAAAGTGTTCATGAAAAGAAACTATCGAACAAGATAAGAAAGTCGATTCGATTCATCTGAGGGAGAAAACATGAATTTCATCACCTCATTTGGGGCAATGAACAATGTTCATTTACCCAATTTTGTTAGCACAAAAAAAATGAAAACTTTCTCTACGACTATAAATCTTCCATATTAAAGTTTTTAAAAAAATTTTTATTACTTCTTGCTTCGATAGAAAATAGAAAAAAAGGAAATATTTTACAGTCTGAATCAGATAAATTTTGAGCTCTTTTCAAAAACTTATTCTATTGTAAATGCTCCGTAAGACAAGGATAGCTAAGGAGGGAGGAGTAAGCTAAATGAATAGATGAATGAATTCTTATGTGTCGCAATCGCTTCTTGCTTCAGATTGAAATACGTATCGAAGTGGAAAGAGAAAGATATATAAATGTGACTGAGACATAGAGCTATGGGAATAGTACATAAACTAAAAAGTTGTTAGCTAGTTTTCAACAATATATCAAACACAAATTAACACAATACGCTTTCAATGCTCATGTTAAGAATATTTTTTTTAAAATTTATCGTTTATGCGAAAAGTTTTTATAAATTGAGAATTAATCAATGTAAGCTGCGCATTTTATTTAAGGAGCATTGATCACGCTTTTAGTATATGCTTGCGACTTTTGTTTCTATTGAGAATCGAACCTCAATCTAAGAATTGATTTTCATTTTTGTCAGATCCACTTGCAGACCAAACAACTCTTTCTATTACAAAGTGACAATTTTCATTAATAAGGTTTGAATTCAGATTAATGTAGATAGCAGAGCTTGAACTCTCTTTAGATAATTTAAAAAAAAAAATTCGTATAGTTTTCTCATTTCTGTTATCTCTTGTGAAGTATATAATCTCACACAAAAATAACATTATGCAAAAGAACAGTTCCAAATCAACTGGTCACATCCTATCCAATTATTCCTCCAGCCCACCAGTAGTTCCAATCTCAATCTTTCACAATCTATCTTACTGTATCTACCAAAACACCTAAAGCATTCAATTTAACTTTAATAAAATTGCTACAAAGATGTGTGCAACCCCCAAATAGCTCCGCTGAGATAAGACAACTAATAAGCTATAAATCATCTAAAACCGAGAAAACCGTACCAGAACGAGGCGAGAAAATTTTAATATGTGGAAAATTTCATCCTTATCTTCACATTTTATCTAAAAAAAATAGTTTCAAGCACTTTATTTGTTTATAAAGTCATGCAAGTATTTTAAGCAGCGCTCTGGTGCTGTGTGATTTATAAGATTTTAATAAATATACAGCGAAAGAGACAGGAAATTCCTTTATAAACCTTTTTCATGATATGATTTAGCGAGATGCTTGTTGAAGACGGTGGAAAAAAAGGCAAAAGAAATTCCTAAAATATTTCATCTCACCAAAAAAAAAGAGAAGCTTTTAACTTCTCGCAAGTATGATGAAGACGATGATGATGATGAAAAAAGTTTCAACTTATTTACGTATATAATGCTGTGTGAATGATGAGGAAGTAAAGTTAATTATGTTGCAGGGGTGTAGGAAGGTAGTTTCAGGGGGTCTACTTGACCTATTAGGCTTGGTATGGCTATGATGTATAAACCCAATCCACTGGAAACCCTTCTAAACCTTGTACCACACATATATTCTTCTCCAGGCCTTCCCAAACCCTTTCATCTCTGTTTTCTACTTCTGTCTTACTTCCTGCTGCGCTCAGCTCCATTCATCGTTAACAGAATGGAATGTTTTTTTTCAAAAAAGAGGGGAAATGAAATTCTTTTCTTGCAAGTTCATTATTGTAACAATTGTTGGAAGTAAATTTACAGCACAAAGTTACTTGCTTGTTTTTCATTTTTTGCATTCCTCCTTTCGCTTTTTTTTGCGACTATGTGTTTGTTTGTTTGTTGTGAAGGAATTTGCCAGCGGGAAATTGCTTCTCTGAAATATTGTTCATTTCTCAAAAACCGATTTAAGTTCTTTTTTTCCTGTTTAAAAAGTTTCTTGGTTATCTGTTCAATGGGTTGATTGATTTTTAGGACATATGTTGTTCGATTTGTCTGTCTGGAGTCAGCTTTAGAAATGGAGCTTTGATTTTGAAACTCTACTTTAAGAGAGTATCGTCGTAGTAAAGCTTGGCTTTAAAAATTGAAGTTCAGTTTTTGAACATAAGCTCAGCTTTGAGAATTGAAGCTTGGCTTTAAGAATTTAAGTTCAACTTTAAGATTTAAAGCACAGAATTAAAAACAGAAGCTCAGCTTTAAAAATTAAAGTTCAGCTTTAAGAATTGAAGCTCGGCTTTGAGAATTGCAGTTCAGCTTTGAGAATTGAGACTCGACCTTAAGAATTGAAGCTCAGCATTAAAAACAGAAGCTCAGCTTCTACAATTAAAGTTCAGCTTTAAAATTTAAAGCTCAGCTTTGTAAATAGTAGTTCTGCTTTAAGAATTCAAGCTCGGCTTTAAGAATTTAAGATCAGATTTAAGTATTGAAGCTCAGCTTTAAATATTGAAGCTTGGCTTTAATATTTTAAGCTCAGCTTTGCAAATAGAAGTTTTGCCTTAAAAGTTCAAGTTCAGCTTTGAGAAATGAAGTTAAGCTTTAAGATTTGAAGCTCAGCTTTAAAAACAGCTTTAAACTTAAAGTGCGCTTAAATCGATAAAAAGTAAACACAATAGATGCCCAACTTCTTCTCTTTAAAACCACTGTTTTGAATCATTGCATCGTTCACAGAAAGTTTTAATAAGTTTTCTCATCCAATCTTAAACATTGCTACATGCTTCCTATTTCCTCTTTTCTTTCAGCTTCGCAACTGCAATCACTAAAGAATGTTTTCCTTATCCTGAGCATCATCATTTGTGTCAGCAGTAAGTTATAGTGTAAATAAATGGAACGCTCCAACATCGATGATATAGAATGATATTAAAAAAATATTATTAAATTGCTGTAAATAAATTTACTTTACTTTTTTTTCTTTCTACACTTACTGACTTATCTAACGATGTAAAAAACATGTGTTACATATAAATTTAAAAAGAGCAAAAGAAGCAAAATTTTATTTCGATAATGTCATAAAAGAATGGAAATTATTGACAAAAATTCACACCAAAAAAAAGAAAAACTTTTTGTGTTTATTAAAAAAAGTGAAAAAAAAATGAATAAAGAGGAAAAAAATGAAATTGAAAAAATATTAAATTGTATTTTTACTTCCACCTTTTTTATAAAGAAACTTTAGTAAAGAATTTTGGGTTTTAGGAATTTGCATAGCAACCGAAAAAAATACTTCGAAATAAGGCTTACGCATTCAGAGTATCCACAAAGTATCATATCATAGTGGGATGATTGGAAAAGAATTTGAGATGCTTATAATAGCCTGCGGATTGATAGCTGTGACCGAAATTGATGAAATTTTAATAGAATGTGATTTATGAAATACAAAATTGAATTGTATGGCAAAGAGGGGGGGGGGGGGGGTGCAAGAGGTAAACAAGAAAACAGGATGGAATTGAGTATGGAAGCTGTTTATAAAGGATGTCCAACTAAATCACAATTTACGAGTTATTAAATTTTTAAGTCAGTGATGGTCAACCTATGTGCCGCGGCACACTAGTTTACTAGTTTAGTTTAATGTAAAAATGTACAGAGTACCTCGAAAAAGTCAAAAGTCACGAGTTTAATAGAAATAATCCATAACTCATCCCAAATTGCATCTAAACTTCCATAAAAAGCTCTCAAAGAGCTTAATGAAGCTTTCGAATGAACATTTTTGCACAACTAGAGCTGTTATAATGAAAAGGCAAATTAAAATTCATTAAGAACGCTCGAACGGTCCTTTTAGGAAGCACAACACGGAAAAAATAATTATGAATAGCTTAAAAAGCTTTTTCTAGCTAATAAAAATTTCATTAAACCTGCAATCATAATTACGCTTATGAATAATACATTCTAATTATTAAATTCATAAATGTAAAACCTTTATCACTATTTTTTAATATTTTTACATAGTATGATCGTGTGCTGAACGAGAGCTAATGGATGCAAAAGCAAAAAAAATTATCAAATTATCATAGAAATGAACTTTTTTTTCTGCTGCTGGATTATAGTCTGCATTTAATGGGGATATAATAATTATACCAAAACCACGCTTTACGCTCTAAAAACTATTAATTTTACCAATTATTCATTGTGTGGATATAGAATAAAAATAGTAGATTGGGGTTGAAAAATTATACACAATTTTTTTTTTGCATTTTTCTCTCTTTCCATTCGCAATTCCGCGCCAATTTAATTGTTTGCGATATGAGGTTTTAATGGATTTTTGCATTGGTGACTGCTGCCAAATAATTTGTGTATGCTTGGAATTTATGATAATACTGTGCAGTGCAACTTTTAAAATTTTTTTTTGAATCGGGGGTTGTTCATAAATGATGTCTATTAAGTATTTGATTTTTATAGCTCACATCTGCCTTATAAAAACTTAGTTTTTCAGAAAGAATCAGATCCCGACCTTCAACATTATATGATTGACGTCACTAATGACTGAACCCTCGTTCGAAGCTAAAGATGGTAACAGAACAGGCGCTTAGCCAGTTTGAGGGACAAATCCCCCAACGTAAACAGAAATTTCTTTGTTTTTCTAGGGTTTTTATGAAAAAATCACAAAAATACCCCCCCCCCCCCCTAAATTTTTCCATGCAAAAAAAATTTTTGCACCCCCTCCCCTTTTCTTCAAATTCCTGGCTACGACGCTGTAACAGAAGTATTGAAATTAGGAAGGAATCAAATTTTCAGGTTTGTTTTCATTATTGACTATCGTAAATAGAGGCCATTCACTTATGACGTCAAGCGAGGAACGGGAAGAAGGTAAGCAAGAAAAGAAATTGTTCTGTTTTGAAAATTGACCGTTAATTTCGGACGTCATAAGTGAACGACTCCAAAGTTTGTTCTTGCACATATCTAGGATATGTAGCTGAGACCTTGAATCAAATGGAAATCACAGTTCAATTGTTGTTAAACAGAAAAAGGAATAACTCCAAATAATGGATCCCGAGTGGGACTCGAACCCATGTCTTTCGATTTTCGGTTGCATGCTCCTACCACTGAGCTATGGAAGGTTTTACGACTATATGACTAAATGCCAGACATAAGTTACGCACTATTCTGTATCTCCTTTCTGCGCCTGATATTCTAAGTCTTGGCATTGTCTTGGCATTGTCTTGGGCATTTTTGAATTTATTGGACTTATATGCCTGATGTCATTGACATCATGTACATAATTAAGTAACCAACACTTTATGCAAATATTGCAGAGTTGCGAAACAGGTCGTTTGTCACAAGATTTGTCAAAACTGCCCAAAGATATAACACATCTTAAACAGGTAAGTGACGGGTGATTGCCTGTGACAGATCGCAACTCTGAAATATTGAAAGCAGACATCCATCTTCTTATTTTTATCAGATTGTTTAAATCGGTTATCGGATTTATCATTATAACAAACATCCGACTCCGATATCCTTAAAAAAAGAAGCCACAAACAAAAAATAAAATCGCAAAAACTATCCCGCAAAATGCATGAATTTAGAATGGACACACAAGTTCACTCATCCATTTTTCAAACTGCTCCAATTTCGGTATATTTCATGAGTAAATCACAAAGTTTATTGGTTAGGTAGAATTGGCTATACACAGATTTGCCATATTTATCAATTATTAATAAAGCTAGAATGCAAACATGCTAGACATTCAACATAAAGCACAGAATAATAAAAAAAAATTCCCCTATGAAAATTTAAAAGCATTTGAAACATACAGCAACAAATCACATCAATATCAGGTTTTGTTGGAGATGAATCGGAATAGAGATGATGACGAGACATTGAAAGGCTTAGGATGAACGAATTTTCAGTCATGAAATTTTTAATATTTTTTGGGTTATTTTGTGGAAAAAGTTTTCAATAACCACAAAAAATATTTTGGAACTGGATTGAGTTCTTTCATTTTAAGCTAGTCTGCTTTAAATTTACTGAAAACTTTAATAAGTCTAGAATATTTTAATCTTGAAGACTATCAAAAGTAATCAAATAAATTGAAGCTTAACTTCCCCAACTGAATCATCGAACAAACGAACAAACGAGCCAAAAGAAAACCTTTTTAAATAAATGAGAAAAAGAGTGAATCAAGAGATAAAAATTCATCAAGGCAATATGGAAACAAGGCAACATTGTTTCAATTTAAATTAAATATTTATAAACTGTCATGCCTGCGGACATTTCGTGCTGTCATAACATTTCTTATGTTGTTAGGGACTTTCTGCCTCGTGACATTTTCGTAATTGTGTTTTTTTTTGTTCTGTTTCTTGTCACAATAACATGAAATTAAAATGAGGTGTAGCAGAATAAAAAGAAGTATTTTAAACAAATTTGGGATTTTTTTAAAAATATTGTGGATGTTCCAAGAATTCATTTGAGTGGAAAAGTTTTCTTTTCAGGATCAGGAGCGTCAACTGCGCGTGTAAAATTTGAACAGAGTTGCTAAACAGGTCGCATGTCACAGATATTGCTTGTTAACAGTGCCTTTGGCAGGCACTGCCTCTTATTATTTTTTTTTTATTTACGCCAGGTGGTAAACATTTCAATGAATTTTAATATGTGACGATCGGGTCAGTTACAGCGTTAAGTAAACCAGTACACTAATGTAGTGAACTAGCAAGCTAGTGACTTAGTAAAGACAATAAGTTAATTACACCCGAAAAGCACAAGTCGGTTAATCGAATAGAAATCCTGTTTCAAGCTAGTGTAACTCTGGCATGGTACTGGTTTAGATTTGAGTCTAGCAATATGCTAAAGTTTTTTTCATTTTAATTGCACTTTATTGCATTTATTGACGACATACTGTCCGGTAATAATTCACATTTTACACGATTTGTATTTGTATATACATATGAATTAATATTATGTAGGATCAAACTTCTAATCTTCATATCTAGGTTTTAAATAAACTAAGGCTCTCGTTTCGATCTTTTGTGGGCGTGACGTGATACTTTTCAGGTCCGTTCTAACAATATTCCATTCGTGGATAATCTTGTAGCTCTCGTTCTTATTTATCCCGCTACACTTCAAGTTCCTGACCCGTTCCTTAATTCAAAGTTGCCCAAATGCCCAATTATGGCTTGATCTCCTCCATTAAGCAGGTGAAGTAAATAAACTTCCGAAAAAGAACAAATTTGGAAATGGCTGGATTCGAACCGACGACCTTCGAGTTACCATCCCAAATTTGAGCCAAGCGCCTTACCTATTCGACCAGCAAGGCACTTAACTGCTTAAAGTTAAGCCAAACAATTTGTTCATTTTACAATCAACATTATTCTGTACCTTAGCAAAAAAAAAAATATATTAAATTAAATTTACCATCATCATGTAATAAATATGTTTCAATTTCACTTTGATAACTGTTTGCCTGATAAAAAAAACTGAAAACTCGAGGATAATAATAATGAAAAGTTTATTTGTTGTTGACATTCTGTCAAGTGGACTTCATTAACATTAAAACGATACAATGCATTCATAAACATGAATAATGAAAATTGTAAAATGAAAAAAAAGTTAATTTAAACTGATGATGGAAAGGAGGAAGTAAGATGGAGAGAAAATGCGCTCATGCTGATAATGTTACAAAATGGACAGTTGCGAATGCAATGAATTTATGACATTTTTCATCTCTTTTCAGCTTTTCATTACAAGAAGTTTTATTTTGACTGTCGTATTATTATTTTTCGGATATTTGCTAGTGATGTCTTTCATTTTAGGGCAATCGATTACATTCAGATGCAATATCACTGACTCAACGATCGAAGGTTAGAGTCTCGTCAGATACTTTGTTATTTGTCAAATTAGTAACCAAAAAGGTGTGTTCGAGAACTTAAGCCATTTCAGTAACCAAAAGCAAAGATCAAGTAGGACTTAAGCCATTTTGGTAACCAAAAGCAAAGATCCAGTGAGACTTAAGCCATTTCAGTAACCAAAAGCAAAGATCCAGTAGGACT